CTCTCTCTCTCTCTCTCTCTCTCTCTCTCTCTCTCTCTCTCTCTCTCTCTCTGTCTTTCTATTCTCTCTCTCTCTCCCTCTTTCTTTTCGTTTCTTTCCATCCGTCTCTAATTTCCTTTGGAGGAGAAAGTATCTCCGGCGTGGCGAGAAGCTGACGCTTCTCAGCAGCACACAAGACGGTATCACAAGAAGTTGACGCTCATTTTTGTTTGGCACGCCGGGCACCCCAGGCACATGTATGACAAACTATTCGAGTGTGTTACGAGATGCACATACATATATATATATACATAATATATGTATATATATATATATATATATGTGTGTGTGTGTGTATACAGGATGTCCCCGAACTATCACCATTCCTTTTATGAATATTTTGACCAAAATCCGAAAAAAATACACTTGTTTTCTATATTTTTCTTATCTTTAAAACGTTAAACACGATATATGAATTACTAAAGTCAGTCAATTTATAAAGGTTTATAAAAAATTGAAAATGAAAAAAATGTATCACTCTGTATAGTAAGTAAGTTCCAAGAGTGCGAGTAAGTGGCGAAAGCTGATTCACCGGTTTCAAATATGAATTGTACCAAAATCTTATTTTATAACTTAAGCGGCGGAAATATTCAACATCGATGAGAGATATCAAGATTAAGAAGAAGCACGGTGTGTCAGCGAATTTATATCAATGATAAACATCGATTCGAAATTGGTCAAAAGATCCATGAATGAAGCGAACAGCAATAAAGTTTCGAGAGGGACATCTTGTATATACATATATACGTATACACATATATGTATACATATATATACATATATATATACACACACACACACATATATATATATATATATATAAATGAATATATATACATATATATAAGTGGTAACAGAGATATATATGTATACGGGCCCATGACACCCTCACAGCCTCGTTCTCAAAACCCGTCCCTCTCGTCCCTCCTCCCTTTATTGTACTCGCAGCGTATGCCGCACCGCAAATTTATTCGCCGTAGCAAAAGGCATTGCACTCAACCAAAACGACAAATCGAAATACAGATATTACAAAGTAACAAATGGTATAATGAATATGTCAACAATCTGCATATATACACACATACGTATACATATATACATATATGTACACACACATATATATACGTATATATCCATATATAATATATGTGCATATATAATATGCATATATATATATATATATATATATATATATATATATATATATATATATATATAT